TAACTGCTTGCAACCCCGTCACAGTATTCCACTGAAATTCCACAAGAAAGGAAATATATTTATGCAGCGGTTAAAGAAATCCAAAAATGTAATCGCCTTTACTTCCCATACATTTCATTGCCCCTCACATGTGCCTATCCAAGTGAGCATGGTAAAATAATAATAAATTTCTACTGAACAGTCAAGGGCACAATTTGACCCAACTCATTCAAGCAATTCTTATGAAATTTAGTTTATCACTATATGCTTATCATTCAGGGAGAATACACTGGGACATTGGGAACACTACATCAATGTTATTCACTTCACCTGAGGGTGCTTTTAATTATGTTGCTGTTCAGTGTGTGTCTGCAGCCTGAACTGGTCTACAGTAATCTACTTGTTGATCAGAGCATTATGCCATGCCTTGGGAAGTACATGCTTGTGCTCTTGTCATTCAGTCACTGTGTTTTACACAAACACCTTTGAGGGGGAAGTGCCTCCAGCAAATCCATCATTCTGTGCTGGCCCACCAGGGAAGAACCTGTCAGCATTTAGCCAGCTTACACAACAAAGATCTACCACATCCAAATTCAACTCGGTGCCCTCCGAGCTGCTGGGAAGACCTTGATGAACTCAAGCTGTGTGTATGTATTTTAGACACACACAGAGGAAGACTGCTGCTGCTCAGCTACTTTTCTTTCCCCGTCCTCACTGTGACTGGAGGACGAGGCTCACCAGGGAAATGCTGATTCAGAAGGTCTTTCCAAATGCCTCATTCATTTTTCAGTACTGAGACACTGCTGCTGCCAGCTACATCAATAAAGTATATCTAGAGACTCTACTTAAGCTCAATTGCAAACATATATGAATGTTTTATGGCTCAAGTTATGAGATGTAGCTGTGGGGCACTGGACCTGCACAAGCTACTTCTAATGAACACATCACCTGCTGTATTTGGTCAAACAGTCGTCTGGAGCAGCAGGGCAGAACCACCAACATCAAAGTAAAAGATTTGGCACCAGCTGTCAAGCGTACAGCCTAAACGCACCTGGGTGCCACACAGAGCTCTTCTTTTCAACAAGGAAAGCTGTTTTCTGTTGCTCTCAAGTATCCTGTTGCTAAAAAAAAAACGAGAAAAAACAAAAGCTTTTATTGGGGATTTTCTGGTGGAAAAATGCACACATGCTGTGAGCAATTTTATAGAACGTTGTGTAAGCCAGTGAGGTAGCTCTCTGCTCTAGTGGCTGTGTGTGGTATGGGAGGCAAACATGTAAGCCGCAACCTGAAGCAAAACTTATTGATCTATGTAAGCAGGCCATTGACTGGTGCTGGGTGTGTGTCAATGTCTCTAATGGGAATGGATAGCGTTTGTGTGTGTTTGAGCACAAGCAGGCCTGTACGCCTGCCTGGATCCTTCCTAGCTTATGTGCATTTGTATATATTTGATTATCACTTAGATATGAATGAGCGCACGTGTTGAAGCAAAAAAAAAAAATGTACAGTTGAAAAAAAGGCTGCTTTAACCATCATAAGATCCGCAAGATCACCGGCAACCTGTTGTAAAGGTAAAGGTAGGTTTTGTTTATGTTTACATCTAACTTTTAATGGATTTTTACCATTTGGCATACACAAATGGAAATCATATAAGAGAATAACTCTAAGAACCAAAATGCATGACTTAAGACTTAACTTAAAAGATAACATCTTCTACTTTGTGAAATGATGCTGGGTTAGGATACAATAATCAATGCATATGCAAAATCTCCAAAACTGGCCAATGTTGACTGTGGTATCAGTAGAAAGATGAATAAAACAAAACAAAACCACCCCCTTTCCCCCTTAGTTATACTTTGTATTGCATAAACAAATGCTTGCATTGCATTTAGTGTCATTCTAAGAGGTGCATCAGTGATATTTTAGCAGGTGAAATTCTCCTTTCCTACTCCAAGGTTTGAGTTTAAAACAGCAGTGTCGTCCCCCCCCAATCCCACAGGCTTTAAGCTGGGGTTTTTTTGTTGGTTTATTTGCATCTCATGCTGATTCAGGCTATTTATCTGTTTGTTTTGTTTTGTTTTTTGGGTTTTTGGTTTTGTTTTGGGGTTGTTTTTTTTTGGGGGGGGGGGGGGGTTGCACATGTGAGATTTAAATATAGAAAAGAAAAAATAACAAGATTGTAGGAACTTTTTGTAAATGCATAATGACTAACACAAGATGGCAAGCTTGTCCGGGGAAAATGCAAATAGGTTGAGCATGTGTGTGTGTGTATCACATATTTAATCATTCACTGTGCTCAATGCTGCTTTTTGAATACACCGTGCATGTCCTGACCTAGAAGTGCAGCTGTATTGCTATTCACATCTCATCAAGTCGAGGCAGAGTGTTTTCTGTCTGTGCAGGTAGAGCGATGACTCATAAAAATGAGACTCGGCTCCTCGCTGACTTCATTAAGTCCAACAGGAGTTTGGCACCCGCGCTGACACAAACCAATTTGCATGTGCAACCCTGAGAGAGTGGACCAACACCATATCTTGCACAACATATGTTGACCGCGGTGTATCTTTCAAAATTACACCCGTGTCTGCTTTGCCAATGTGAAACAGAATTTACCGTTGTAGGCAATGTGCGAGCAATAAATTGGTATGAGTTGAAGAAAATGAACTCACTGAGGCAGACAGCTAGCTCTGCCCAGCACTGGAAATGGTGTGAGCGCTCCCAACTGCTTCTCTTGTTCTGGTAATAAATTGTGACAAAAAAGGTTGTGTTTTCAGTCAAGGCATCTAAACACTCTTGATGGAGCAGGTAATGGTGAGCAATACTGTTGACATCTTATTTATAGCTTCTTGTAACTGAGCGTGTCCCATTTCTCCCTTTTCCTTTTGCCAGAAAAGAAGCGCCCATTCACCTTTCTCTGCTTTTCCTTCTTTTTTCTGTGCAGCTTTTTATCCTCTCTATATAGCAATACATGAAAAGCCATTAGCTGGATCTGAGGTCTCACTGGATTGATGGTATGTGTGCAAGTAGTGGCCTATAAAAACAAGCTGAGGTAGCCCTCTTTTAAAATTACCTATTAGTGCTTCCCATCAGTTCATGACCAATTTGTTGTTTATTCCTATGTATTCATATAAAACTGTATATTTTATTAAAACTGTGACAGAAAGGATGAAAAATGTGAGTAAATGGCCTGATACAATATATTGCTTTCAGCAATATTTCCCAGTTGATATTAAACTTCCCTGCATCCTCAAGACACTATTAACTAACGTCCTGATGGAAGCAGCTTCTATTATTAGGGATAGATACGTTACGGATATATACTCACTGGTCATTTTCCTAATACCTATTTGGACCCTTTTTGCCTTCAGCGCTACTTTAATTCTTTGTGGCATAGACTCAACAAGGAGCTGGAAACACTCCTGTGTGATAGCATCGCACAGCTGCTGCAGGTTTGTTGGCTGCACGTCCATGATGTTAATTTCCTGTTCCATCACATCCCAAAGGTGCTCTCCTGGATTGAGATCTGGTGACTGTGGAGCCCATTTGAGTACAGTGAACTCACCACAGTGTTCAGGAAACCAGTGGGAGAGTTTGAGCTTTGTGACATGGCTCATTATCCTGCTGGAAGCAGCAATCAGAAGATTGGTACGCTGTGGTCATAAAGGGATGGAGGCAGTCAGCAGGCTATGGTGTTTAAGAAGTGCTCAGTTGGTGCTAAGGGGTCCAAAGTGTGCCAAGAAAATATCCTCCACAGCATTATCATCGCCATTCTTGTCTGACCTCTGGCATCAACAAAGGCATTTTCACCCGGAGAAAATGACTCACTGGATGTTTTCTCTTTCACACACCATTCTCTGTAAACCCTAGAGATGGTTGCAAAATCCCAGTAGATCAGCAGTTTCTGAAACAGTCAGACCACCTCCTCTGGCACCAACAATCACGTCATGTTCAAAGTCACTTAAATCAATTATTATTCCAAACTTTCTGCAAAGCTTTAGTTGAAAACAAAGGGCTTTCTGCATCTGCTTTAGGCTTTTGAATGTCTTGAATTTGGCTTACTAAATGTAAATGAACCCACCCAGTAAAAGATTAAAGAGCTTGTGCTGATGAACTAAGGGCTATAACAGTAAGTAAGGCAGGTTTTTAACATTGCAAAGTTTCAGAATGTATTTTTTCCCCTACTGATGAAACAGCAAAAAGGGTTTGCTTTTAAATTTTGCTCACCGACTGAAACCTAACTATGTAGATTTTGCATGTTCTCCCTGTGCCTGCATGGGTTGTCTTGCAGTCTGAAGTTGATTGCCTTTTCTCTGTTTTGGTCTTGTGACAGGTTGAGATAGGATCAATTGAGTTAAAAGAGCTGTTTTTTGAAGGAAACACAGTAGCTTTCCTGACAGGTGTGTTGCTTAAAGCTTCCTTCTTTGGTTAAAATAATAATGATAATAATAATAATTTAATTGAAATTTAAAAAAAAAAAAGTCCATGCCTTGCAGATTTACAATACTCAGTGCTTTCTGACTCCTGAGTTGGACATTAATTTCAAATGAGAAACAGACATTTACTTAGTTTTCTTCCTAAATATGAATATTTCCCACAAGGGAGCTGTAGGAAGGAGAGGGCCAGTTAATACCGTGTTACAAGTGTTGCAGTTCCAGAAGTTTTCACAGGAATCACCCCCTGCTCATTTATACCGCGTGGTTAATAATTATAGGCTCATTACAAGCACCATCTCACTGATCTGACTTTGGGCTTATTATTAAAATCATTATTACTATAATTATGACCTCTATAATGTTTGTTTTATAACACATCACTCACGTCACACGAGCTCCAAAATGCATCATTCACACTAACAAGTAGGTTTCAATCAATGAAAATATGCGTAAATAAATAGTGGTGATCAATGAACTGAAATTTTCTCTTTTTTGGACTGTGTAAAAATAAAAACAGGGATCAGTTACAGTATTTCTTCCGGGTTGTGATAGTCGAAGGAGGGATGAGCAGTGATGCTGCCTGTGTTTGCTCCGCACATCAGCAGCCCTGCTCCTCTCTCTCTCTTTCCCTCTCTCTCTCTCTCGCACAGACCCAGGCAGAGGTTGTACGTCCGCTCCGGGAGAGAGAGCTCACACCGCATAGCGCTACAGCCGCCTGACACCGACAGTCCTACCGCACGCTCTTTTCAAATGGATGTCTCCTCCGTTCACGCCTTTTGACACCGGAAGGTGCTCCTGTAGCTGCGTGAGAAACACCTCGTCCCTTGCTTGTTTTCTTAGGTAACTGCCTTCTCTCGACGACACAGAGAGAGCCATACTCACCCCCCTTTTCTTTCCATCGTTAGCCCGCTAAGCTAGCTAGCCCGCTAACTTAGCGGCGATACTTTGTATCGAGTCGGTATCAGTTTTCTGCCTGCGGACTCTTTGCGCCACGGCTGATTGAGGTGACCAGTCACTCTAGGTAAGGTGAAAATACTTGTTTTAACACCAATTGCAGTGATTGTTGTTTCCTCTCTTAGCCACATAGTCATTTTTGGAGGGTTGCTTCTGCCCAGTGACCCCCCTACGGTTATCTGGTAGCAGGCAAGCAGCCGCCGTTATGGCAAAGCGGGGCTTGTTGACAGAAGCAGCCGAGCAACAGGGATGCGATGCGACTCTCCGCTTAAGGCACAGATTGCCACTTTGCTTTCAGGTGAATTAACCGGTAGATGCTGTTCCACAACCGCACCGAAACACGCCAAGTGAAGGGAAAGCTGCTTCCCTGATAACGGTGCTCATAAATACTTTTTTTCTATCCATCCCGCGTTAGCGTTCAACCGTGACTGTTGATTTGTAGCGCGAATGGGCCACTGCCGGGGTCAGTGCTATCGCACACTTGCCGCATTTGACTGCAGCGACTTGTTTCCCCCTACTAACGGTCAATTCAAATGAGTGCTAGTTATCAAGTTTTCCTGACTGCTCTGTGATCTCACCCAGTGAGATCAAAAGAAAGCGTCTGTTTAAAGTAGAGCATAATGGTTACAGTGGAATGTGTATCTGCTCTTCCTTTTGCTCTTTTCCTCCTTTCTGAACATTTTAATGCTTCATTGTTGCATCACAACCCGAAAAAGATGATGTGTAAACCCGGAATTTAACCTCTGATTGGTCTGTTGTTGTGCGCCTAATAGAGGTCAGATGACTTTAGCTGGGAAAAGAGAAGAAAACTAGCCAGTGCAAATTTGAAGAGGTTAGTCACTTTGAATGTAACGCAGTCACTAAAAAGACTTTGTAAAGGGTTACTTAAAGCATGTGGGGCCTGATGTGTGCGTGTATGTATGAGTGAAAGAAGAGAGAATGTGCGGGCATTAACAATGCTGTAATTATCTCAGAGATAAGAAAATGGATCCACTATCAATCCTGCAAGACTCGGCAGCTCTGCACAGCAGAGCTGATGAAGCTGTAGGATTGACAGGGAACCAATTAAATTAATCTGTCATGTTCCTTAAAGGGAGAGAAAAGAGGAAGCATGTATTATTTATCCTCTCTCTCTCTCTCTCTCTCTCTCTCTCTCTCTCTCTGTGTGTGCGCGCGCGCGTGCGTGCGTGCGTGCGTGCACACACTCGTGTGGCATTGCCTGTAAGAGTGCAGATACGCTGTGTTGCTTAAGGGAAGCTGTGCGGTACCTTGTTCACTACCTGTAGCAGTGGTCCCATGGTGCAGGCGAGCTCAAGGCTTTGATCATTTTCAACAGGATTATCTGTGTGGTAGCGCTGACTACCAAATAGAAGAAGAAATAACCTGACCACATAGTGCTTGGCTTCCTTGAAATCTATATGGGAAGTTGAAGTTGTGGAATCATAACTGGGGTTTTGTGCCATGTTGAGGATCTTTGCCTCAGAGCTGGATATCTAAACTTAGGCTTGTGTTATAAGGCATGACTATCCAGCTCTGAAAGGAAATGAATCATGTTCCTCATTTCAAGGCTGTGGAGTCTGCATGATGTGTTTCCTGCCCTGTGTTGCATTGACTGTGTGTTCAGGCTGTAGCAGATTTGCATCCGTGTGTGTGTGCTTGTGTAACCATGTTTGTTATGGCTGACTTGAGAGTCTTTCAAACTGGGAACATTTTGGCCAATCTGTGGGACGTACAGCATTGGGAATATAATAAAAATAGTTTTTTAGTGAATGAGATTAATTGAGGAGGGGAAAAAGTGTGTGGGGAAAGTACGTCACTGTGGTTTTAAGTCATATAGTGAGTATGACTAAGTAATGAGTTGTGTATGTTTTTTCTGCAGGTGGATATAGTCATTGCAAAAGCATGTTTTTACAAAACATCTAAATTATAAGGGACAGTTACAAACAAAGTGTCTTAACCTTTTCCCTATTTTTAATCACAGTGAGAAATTAGTAGCTCACGTTTTCATTGGCTTTGCTGCTGAGTAAATAATCTGGAAAGTGAAGGCGAAAATCACTGCCGTCCTGTTTGCGTGTTTGCTAGTGTTTGTCATCAAGCGTGGCTGTGGCGCATTTATTACTCCGAGCTGCTCTGGAACAATAGCTCTATTCTGATCTGTGTCTCCGGAGGGAAGCAGCAGCATTCGGGGACCCTGGCGATCTGTGTGCCAGTGAGGCTTGGTTTGGGATTGGGTTTCCACAGCCACCTGGAGCTCAGAGCACAGGAATGCCATTGTTCCTACTTCCAGACTAAGACCGGATCGCACACATGCACATAAAGAGATACATGCGAGAGGACTCATACCAGCCTGCCTGTTCCCCCCCAAAACCTGGGTCACCCTGCTTTGTTACATTGGCATTACTCACATGCACAGCCACCATGACCTGGCAGTGGCTGCTGAGCGTGTGAGTGCTTTAAATATCAGTGAGCAAAATTTATTGCACTTCCACTCTTTGTGCGTTGTTCATCTTGCTTACCACCTAACATAGGCCTGCAAAGTAGGTGAGAAGTATTTAATAAAGTGTAACTAGAACTGAAGAAATTGCCCAGTTAATCATTTTGTTATTGCTTCTCACAAGTTGGCAGTCTTTTTGCCCGTCATTGCAAAATTCTGATAGCAGCTTCTCTAGTGTGCACAACTGGCAGCCAAATCTGTGTCGTCTTTGTATTTATTTATTTTAATTAACTTCTAAGATTTGCTGTGCTGCTTAGACAAAGACGAGACATCACCTCAAGGATGCCATAATGAGCATTTTTCAGTGTTTTGTCATTTTCTGCTAAAACAATAAGTCATTTAAATATGCATAATGATGGTAACCGTTTATTTGCAAGAACAAGAAATAACTGGGACACTTTAATCATATGGATGCATATTGTCATAGACAAAAGCCACTGGCGGCGACAGATTTTGTGGTATCTGTTGTAGCTTGTCAAATGTCACTTTTGCTTTCTTTAATGGAATCTCGCTCTCACATGAAAAGGCCTGCACAAACATCAGCTGTCAGTGCATGAGCTGATTACTGCCTGCTTACCAACCAGCTACTCCACTAAGATGGGTTTTGTTGTTAATAATGTTGTCTGATCACACTCACATCAGACAGAATTATCTCTACCCTCTGCAGCAGTTGGTTCTGGCATTGGCAGTGCAGCTGAAAGCTCATTTTCTTGTCACAGAGCAGAGTAGAGTTGCCATAAATTGGAATAACATCACCAACTTGGAGCTATTATGTATAATATATGTTTGTTTTTTGTGGTGAAACAAGTATGGGTTTTGTTTTTGTGCTGCCAAAAATCTAAAAAGTATTTTTGAAAAATAGATGATGGTGGTCAAATTAAAGCCAGTTTGAGCATGCTACAAGATTATTTAGCCTGTATTATATCTATCCCAATATCAGAGAGAATTAGCAAAAGCCGACACGTCAACTTGATTAAGGGGGTGGATCTAAACATCTGTTCTGCTCAAAAAAGGCAAGTGTGGCCCTGTAGCTAGTTTAGCTAGATCAGATAGCAGAGACCTAAATGGCTGATCTTCAGACAAGTAAGAGAAGCTGAAAACAGAGTGTAACGAGAAGGAGAGAGAGGGGATATTGGCAGCATTTAGCAGATTTTTTTCCCTGTTTCTCAGTCCTCTAGGGTTTAGGCAGACAAGTTTAGTTTTGTGCTCTTGTGTGTGTGAATGTGTGTGCTGGTGCTTGGCTATACGTGTGTGTCCTCTGGCTCTACAGTGGGTCACTTTAGGGATAGAGTTGCATAGAAGTGGGTCAGCCAGTGCCACCGGGGAGTCTTGCCAGCTCTCTGCTCCTATTCAGCATTGAACCGACTGAAGGCCTACACAAAAAGTGTGCGTCCACATATGTAAGGATTGTTTCTGAGAATTACATGTTAGTGTGAAAATCACACCCTTCACACTCAGCGACCTTTGCTGGATCAGCCATTTACCGAACATGTTCCTTCCTCGTTTGTTGCACTTTGACTCCTCATAAATATGCTTTGGTGGAAAAAAACTGTAACTGTGAAGGCAAAAAGAGCAGCACGCCTATATGTGGCGCAGTATGTATAAACTGCATATAGGACCTCTACAGATGATTCAGAGCCTGTCACAGCCAGAGTGTCTCAGCTGGATGGACACAGTGTTTCTGCTGGCTTAATGATAAGGAAATAGGATTTAGCCCAGCATTCAGCAGAGGTTTATTTCAACTCCTAGCTGCAGTCTCTTGTTTTCTGCTCTGGCTCTCCTTTGACAAGGAATTAATGGTCTATTTCTGTTTTCATTTCAGTTGCGTATGTAAGTCTTCACAAGGTAGCACCAAAAAACCCAAATATTTGCATAGATGAAGACTTTGTTTGTCACGGTTTGTCGGGAGTCACCCGTGACTTTTATCAAATACAAATACAAAAGCTAGTGCTACAGTAAACTCAGTGATGCTTAAAGTGTTGCAAAGTGCTTTTTTTCCGTTTTGTGTTCCCCACAAGATGCTACAAATATCCATCCAACATAGCGGCTCTGTGTAGAAGCTTTTGAACCATGTATTTATGCACAATGTGACAGTGTGCTGTGTAAATGTGTTAATGGGTGTGGTAAACTCACAAAATATGATCTGCCAACTCTGCAGTTTTTCTCTCTGCATGGTTTGTTACAGTTCATTGAGTCTGGTCTATAGTTCACAACTGTTTTTTTTTTTTTGTTTGTTTTTTTGTTGCTGTTGCTGAGCAGTAGCGTTTAGTCAGTTAATTAATTAGTCAATAAAAAACAACTTAACTGACAATTACTTTTATTTATTCATAAGTGTATTTATTTTTCTGATGAGCATTCTAAACATTTACTGGTTTCATTTTCTCAAATATTCAAATAAGCTTCAAATATATTTGAAGCTTCTATTTGTTCAAATAATAATCTGTACAGTTTGAAATGTTTGAAAAAGTTTTTTATTATTGCTATTATTACAGAAATGTAACACAAAATGGCAAACTGGAAAAAGGCTGGTCAACATGTGGACCATTGTACAGCTAAAAAGCCAAAGATTTCCC